GTTAGCATAGTAATAGTTACTGTAGTAACGGTAACCATAGTAGTGGATAATTTGGTAACGGTACCATAGTACCATCGTTAGTTCTGCCGCACCAACAAGAATAACCGTATCTGCATTTAGGATGAGTCACCTACTTGCCACTGCCACTGCCACCAATAAGTGACTTAACCAAAATGTAGTTACTGCTACTCTTGTTGGGACGGCAGAGTTGTAGTATTACTATAGTACCATAGTAATAGGAACTATAGAAATGGTTAATATGGTAAAGGTTTCCATAGTAATAGTTACTATAGTAACGGTTACCGTAGGAATGGTTAATATTATAATGGTACCATAGTAATAGTTACTATAGTAACGGTTACCGTAGGAATGGTTAATATTATAATGGTACCATAGTAGTAGTTACTTTAGTAATAGTTAGTATGGTAACGGTTACCATAGTAATAGTTACTATAGTAATGGTAACCATAGTAGTGGATAATTTGGTAACGGTACCATTGTACTATAGTTAGTAGTAGTTATATTACCATAATAATAGTTAATATCGTAACGGTTACCATAGTATTCAGTACAATAGTAATGGTTATAAGGTGACGGTTACTATAGTAATAGTTACCATAGTTATCATTACTATATGGTAACGGAACCATAGTAACGGTTACTATAGTAATGGCTAATATTGTAACAGTTACCGTAGTAATAGTTACTTTAGTAACGGTTACCATAGTAATAGTAACTGTAGTAATGGTTACCGTAGGAATGGTTAATATGTTAACGGTACCTTAGTAATTGTTAATATGGTAACACTTACCATAGTAATAGTTTCTATAGTAATTGTTATCATAGTAGTAGTTAATATGGTAACGGTACCATAGTTAGTAGTAGTATTACTATACTACCATAATAATGGTTAATATCGTAACGGTTACCATAGTATTCATTACTATAGTAATGGTTAATAAGGTAACGGTTACTATAGTAATGGTTACCATAGTTATAGTTAATATGGTAACGGAAACATAGTAATGGTTACTTTAGTAATAGTTACTATTGTAACCGTTACCATAGTAATAATTACTACAGTTATGGTTAATATGGTAACGGTTACCATAATAATGATTATCATAGTAACGGCTATTGTTACTATGATCTTTAATGTTTACCGTAGTAACAGTACCAAACTAATGGTTATCATAACAATAGTTATCATAGTAATGGTTATCATACCAGCAGTTACCATAGTAATGTTTACCACACCAACAGTAAATCACTTCAGGAAAAATTTTTCAACCTTGCAATAGTGACACTTGTTCCATGTTTTACGTAGAGGAAAAATTCGACCAATTTTTGTGGTTTAACTAAACGGAAAAAAAGCAATTTAAACAATTTAGATAAAAGAGTAATTTCGCAGTTGTTATCTCTAAAGACCAATCTAAAATTTTAAGGTATCAAAAGACTCCTTAACGTCGTAACAATTTTAACGAATGACATTAAGCGACCAGAGTCTTGTGGAAAGAGAAGTAGAAGTAGAAGAAGGAAGAATTGTTATATAGAATAAGAGGAGTGCGGGAAGATGACTCGACGTCTGGGACAAGCATGATTACGTAATTTCGCGGAAGAAGGAAGCAGAGCCAAAGAAATGGTAGGTTGAGGGGTCCAACCCAAGGAGATGAGGAAATGGAGGTTGAGGATGAGTAGGAGAATGAGAAGTCGTATAGCACTGAAAGAGGAATGGAAGGGGTTCAAAAAGGGAGAAGAAAGAGGGACGACGAGGAGCAGAGGGTGGACTGAATAAGGCTGACACTGGTTTGTGTATAGTCGGTCGACTACTTTATGAGGACAAGCAGCTTAGGCAAGCCCTTCCTAAATATAATTCATTGCGCATACCTCGCTACACAACTACTACTACTACTCCGGAGGAAAGTGGAAACGGCGCTCCTCTCTCTCTCTCTCTCTCTCGTTATTTATGGAATCACAGCTGTATTCTGATTCGGTTGCGGCGTGTTTCGCTTGCGCGGCAGAAAATGGGTTGCCGCGGTTACAGGTATATGTGCATTATCTATATACACGAGATAAGAATCCCCTTTCCTCTCTTTTTCCCTCCACCACTCTTAAAAAAGATGCCCCCCTCTCTTTTTATTCCAATACCAAATCCGCATATTCACTTCAACGGAATGGGACACCCAATGAACGGAACGACGACTTATTTCGAGACCCGAATTCCCCTTTTTTTTTGACTTCAATTTGCCCTCTCGCTTCTTTTTATACTGTATTTTGTTTTATGCACGACTGCCACTTGGAGAGAGATCCTTTTTTCTGCCTCCACGTCCTTATACTATCGTTGCTAAAGTGGAGAATGGGGAAATTTATTTCAAATGGAAAGCTTACCGATTTCTTTACAATATCCTGAAAACTTTTGCTGCGACATCAAAAGCTCTTGTAGGGCAAATTTACTCATATTACATTTTAGTTGAATCAAATAATTTTTATTTGATACAATTTTTTTGGTATAACCAAATAATTACTATGTTACTGTAGTAATTGTTACCATATTAACCATTATTGTGGTAACTATTACTATAGTAACCACTACTATAATTCCGTTACTTTATTAACCATAACTATTTTGGCCTTTACTATAGTAACCGTTACTATTATAATCGTTACCATATTAACCATTATTATGGTTAACGTTACTTTTATAACCACTACTATGGTACCGTTACTATTATAATCGTTACCACATTAATCATTACAATGGTAACCGTTACTGTAATTAATATTACTATGGTAACCGTTACCATATTAACCATTACTACAGTTACAATTACTGTAGTAACCATTACTATAATAACCTTTACCATATTAACTATTACTATTGTAACCGTTACTATACAGTAACTATTACGATGGTAAACATTATCATAGTATCGTTTTCATAGTAACCATTACTATATGATAGTATCGCTATAATAAACATTGTCGCAATAACCGTTACTATGGTTACTGTTATTTGATAACCATTACTATGGTAACCGTTACTTTGATAACCATTGCAACAATAACTGTTACTATTGTAATGGTTAGGTATGGTACTCATTAGATTGGTATTCGTTGCTAATGTAACTATTGCTACAGTAACCGTTACTTTGTTAACCGTTGCTACATAGTAACATGAAAAGTCTGACTGAAATATACTTTTACTACTGATATTTTAAATTGCAAGTAGTAAATTGTTCTATCTAATTTATAAATTAAAAATTAGATATCAAAAGTAATTCCCTGAAAATTTACCTCTGCTTTAATGAGTAAGTAGTAAAAATCGGTTTTCAGTCAGACGATACTTGAAAACTCTAAAAATTAAAAGTATTTAAGTAGTAAAAGTCAACGTCAGTCAGACAACAATTTAAATTCTTCTGACTTAAAATATCAGTAGTAAAAGTGTATTTTAGTCAGACTTTTCATGTTACTATGTGTCAATGATAAATATAGTAACTATCATCGTAGCTATGAATACTGTAGTAACAGATACCACAGTAATGATTACCATACAAACCATAACAATAGTAATGGTTATTATTACAATGTTTACCAAAATAATGGTTACCAAAGTAACTATTACTGTAGTGACTGTTAGTATAGTAATGGTTAATATGGTTACGGTTACTATAATAATGATTACTTTAGTAATGGTTAGTATGGTGACAGTACCATTGTAATGTTTAGCAAAATAACGTTAACCATAGTAATGGTCACTATAGTAATGGTTAATATGATAACGGTTACGATAGTAATGTTGACTACAGTAACGGTTACCATCGTAATAGTTACTGTAGTAACGGTTAACATTGTAATGGTTAATGCGGTAACGGTTACAATAGTAACGGTACTATAGTAGTGGTTATCAAAGTAATGTTAACCATAGTAATGGTTACTATAGCAATGGTTACTACAGTAAAGGTTACTATAGCAATGGTTACTATAGCAATGGTTACTATAGTAATAGTTATTTTAATAATGGTGAATTAGGTAACGATTACTACAGTAACGCATACCATAATAATGGATAGTATGGTGACGGTACTATAGTAACGGTTTGAAAAGTAACGTTTACCATAGTAATGGTTACTATAGTAATAGTATTAAACATATTATATATCAGCTACTTGGAGGGAAGTGAAGAAGAAAAATGGCCCTTTAATTGACATCTAATTATCTTGTTTTGATATATATTTATACGAAAATACGCTGACTATTATATATATATAGTGTGATGCGAGGGTAACAAATCCGAAACCTGTGAAAGGGAACTGAAAGGGTGGTGGTGGGGGGGATGATGATCATAGGGTGTCGAGACTCAATGACCGACTATAACGCCAGAGGTTATTAGTTTAGGAAACTCTGAAAGTGCCTCATCCCAAACAGAGTGAGTCCCTCTGCATCTAACAATCTTTCGCAAGTCGAGTGTAATCGGTATAAACAGGCAAGAAGCCAATGAACCCGTGTCTGTTTTTTATCGCCTCCCTCTTGCCCTTCGCTTTATCCTCTCGTCGTCGGCTTTTTTTATAACCCCCTCCCCCTCCCCCTACGTCTTCTTACAATTTTCCACGTCAAGGGAAATCTTTTTCATGATTATATATATATATATACTAAAGGGGGCTACGCCCATGATTTTCCACTTTTTAGGGTTAATTTTTTTGAAAGCTTGGAAATATTAAAATTATTAAATTTTTACCTAAATTTTTAAGGTTATGTTCGTTTCTTGATTAAGGAAATTTAAGGTTATGTTTGTCGGACATAGTCTTGAATTCAATGGTCCCTGGGAACTATATCTTTGAAATTTTTTAGGTTATGTTTGACCTATGACATTGAACTTTGAGGTTATGTTTGAACTATTTCGATAAATTGCATTTTTTATTTTTTTTCTACTTCGATAAATTGAATTTAAAAAAGAAATTATGATTTTTAATTTGAAATTATTTTTTTTTTCTTTTTTATAGTCCAAGCAGTACGGCGCTGGGTTCGCTGGATCAATTGAAGGAGTACCTGACAACAGCGGGAACTTGCAAATGCGGTCTTGAGTGTCCATTAAGGCCTGAGCAGGTCTTCAACTTTGACCCCAAGGTACGTTTTCTCAATAAGAACTTTTGACACTGCAATTAAATTATTCACAACTTTCTGCTGTCATGGCTCATGAAAATCATTTCTGAGACGCGACTCTTGAGCTAATATATATCACAAACAATGCGGGGTGGGGGAGGGGAAGGAGAAACTTTATTCTAAATTTATTTTTATTTGCATATATTTTTTAAATTAATTTATAGAGCAAAGGATTTTTTTTTTAGATTTATTTACTAAATTTTGGGCAGAAATTTTAAATATGGGCCTAATGGGGTACTGGCTAGTTTTTTCTATTTGGTCCTTCGCTAAGAAACTAATTTTTAATTTCAATTTAAAATTGTTAATATAACTTTTTGTAACAGAAAGTTATTTTTTTTAAAAACTTAGTTTATTGGGAATTTTTTGAAACTATGAAAACTGTTGAGTCCCTGACTAGTGCCCTATTTTGAATCTAGTAAACATTCTGTTAGGGATTTCTGCGGGGAATTGTAATCAAATTTCTAAAATACATAAAATTAAATGAAATCTAAATATTATGACTATATTTTAGTTTTTTCCAAACTAGGAAAACTGTTGAGGCTCAGACCAGCGCCCTCTTTTGAATCTAGTTAGCACCCGGTTTCAGATAATAATTCTGATCAATTTTAAAATAAACAAAAATTGTTAAACTTAAATATTCTTTTAAACTTAGTTTATTTTTTGAATCTAGGAAAACTGTTTAGCCCCTGTCCAGTGCCCTATTTTGAATCTAGTAAACATTCTGTTAGGGATTTCTGCGGGGAATTGTAATCAAATTTCTAAAAAAAAATAAAATTACATGAAATCTAAATATTATGACTATATTTTAGTTTTTTCCAAACTAGGAAAACTGTTGAGGCTCAGACCAGCGCCCTCTTTTGAATCTAGTTAGCACCCGGTTTCAGCTAATAATTCTGATAAATTTTAAAATAAACAAAAATTGTTAAACGTAAATATTCTTTTAAACTTAGTTTATTTTTTGAATCTAGGAAAACTGTTCAGCCCCTGTCCAGTGCTCTGTTTTGAATTTCGAGAAATTTCTTTTTGAAATTTTTACCAGAAATTCTGATCAAATTTCTAAAATAAAATTAAATTATTAAACGTAAATATTTCCTTTTTTTTTAAACAAGGAAAACCTATCCTTGCCTTGATCCCATTTTAAATAGGATCAAAGTAGAAAAATTTCTCAACAATACATCACTTTGCGGTATGAAAAATTGTGAAGTGACAATAGTGATGTGTGTGTGTGTGGTTTTTTTTTCCTTTTTTTGAGGGGATTTGATGTAAATAGATTGGATGACAACAATGTTTTGGATTTTCTCCCTTGTTGTGTTCGTGTACCTCTTGAAGTGATCTCTCGCTCGTCACCCACAGTCCGGCTTTTGAAAATAAGCCTTGAAAAGGTGCTGCGGATTGATCCGATAGTATATATATATATAAAAGACCCTCGATCGAATTATTCCACTTAGAAGTGAAGGCACCAAACAGAAACATGTAATTATCAGCTTGCACCTGCTCTCTCACCTTCTGTCACCTTTCCACCTCTCGCAATTAGAATTATCACGATCAGGCCCTAACAGACAGACAGACAGACAGACAAGGGGTCTAAAACATTGTATAGTAACACATGTCTTACATGTTTATAAATTGCAAAAAAAAAAAAATTAAAATAGTTTTTTTTTCTTGATTTAATGAAAGTCAATTTATAATTGGATATTCTGGATAGTTTTAGTTTTTTTTTTCTTAATTGAGACTATTTTTTATTATAATTATTTTCCTCAAAATGTCAGTATTTGAAATGGTAAAAAGATTTACCTGAAACAACGAAACATTTCACTATAGGGAGGAATAATTTTATTTGTTCCAATGAAACCTTTCGCTATTCCAGTGAATTCTTTCGCTGTTTTAGATAAATATTTTTTTCCCTGCGCAATATTGTTTTTAAAGAGGATTGCTGTATATACGGGAAAAAAAAATTTACCTAGAACAGCGAAATGTTACACTTTAGTAGGAATAATTTTACTTGTTTCAGTTAAACCTTTCGCTGTTTCAGGCAAATATTTTTTTCCCGACGATAAATTGTTTTCAAAGAGGATTTTTGTATTAAATAATTGTTGTTTGTATTAATAATATTAATTATTATTATTATTATTATTATTATTATTATTATTATTATTATTATTATTATTATTAGTATCAAATAATTTTTATTAGCACACGGAAAAAAAATATATTTGGAACAGAGATATGTTTCTCTAGAATAGCGAAAACTTTTGTTGCTTTAGTGAATAATTTCTGTAGTAAAATTTAATTGTACGAAAAATTTATTTGGTTCAAGTAAATATTTATTTGATATAATAGTTAAGTAACCACAATTATTTGAATAGAAATAAATTTTTTTACAGTGTAGAAAAAAAGGTGTTAATTATTATTATTATTATTATTATTATTAGGTATTATTATTATTAATATTATTATTACTATTATTTTTATTATGTAAATAGTAAGATATATCCCACGCATTTGACCCCTAAAATCGTGCAAGTGTATCGTTGCATATAGGAAGTTTGATAATGAGAACATCACCATTAATCAGAAGGCAGAACTATCTCCTGATCTTATTATATATTTAAGATATATAATGCAACGTTTGCACTGAGACAAATGATGTCTTTTTGGGAAAAGAAAGAAAGAGAGAGAGAGAGAGTGTGTGTGTGAGAGAAGGACCCCTTTTATTCCGTCTGTTCTTTAGCAGCGGAACCTGCTCTTCCGTTGAATATTTATGCACCCCTAAAATTGACCTCTTATACTCGAATTAATGCCGCTCTTTTAGATACTTTACTTTTGGGAATATTTCACTTAAAAAAAAAAAAAAACAAATTATTATTAACTCAAAGAAACCGGATGGAAAAGTATATATTAAAAACAGGTTTCTTATTCTAGACTATATTCTACATTTCTACAGAATTTGTTAGAAACAACCAAATTTTTTTTTTTTTTTAAACAAAATTCTGATTGAATCAACCAAATAAATCAGTAGAAACTTTTACTAATTTTTTAGTAAAATATTACTATTTTATTTAGTGATAATTAACAAAAAAAAATCGTTTGTTTTGACAATTTTGGATGTCAAATTTTGGATGTCGTAACCAAATTTTGGTTGTCGTAACCAAATTTTAGAGTTATTTCAATGAAACATTTAGTTAGGCGAACAAAATTATTTGGTTAGATATTTTTAAATTCCTACCCAACCAAATGATTGTTAAAAATCAAAAATTTCGTTACGACAACCGAATAATTTTGTGTTAAGCATAAAAAAATGTTACTAAATCAAATAGTAATATTATGCTAATAATTTGTGAAAATTTCTACCAAAATTTTTAGTAATATTTTTTTTTTTCATTAACTAAAATAATTGGATTGTCGTAATCAAATTTTGGTTACGACAAGAAACGATCATTTGGTTGATTGGAATTTAAAAATGTTCAACCAAATAATTTTGTTGGTCTAATTAAATGTTTCATTGAGATAACTCAGCAACTTTGTTTCAGTCAACCAAATTTTGGTTACAACAATCAAAATTGTCAAACCAAACGATTATTTGTTAATTATTATTATTAATGAAAATAGTAATATTTTACTAAAAATTAGTGAAAATTTTCTACTGATTTTTAGTTATTTTCTTTACTTAACTTAATTATTTGGTTGTCGTAATCAAATAATTTTGTTGGCCTAATCAAATGCTTCATTGAGATAACTCAACAATTTTGTTTCAGCCAAAAAAAAATTTGGTTACGACATCCAAACGTAATAAGTAAATTTGGTTACGACATCCAAAATTTGATTACGACATTCAAAATTATGACTAATCTAACGATTTTTTATTATTAATTATGACTAATTTAAATAATAATATTTCACTTAAAATTAGTGAAAATTTCTACTAATTTTTAGTCTTTTTTTTACTTAACTAAATTATTCGTTTGTCGTAACCAAATTTTCATTAGGACAACGATCATTTGTTTTTTTAGACTAAACTATTTTATTGTGTTAACTAAATTATTTTGTTGTCGTAACCAAATTTTGGTTGGAATTTAAAAATATTCAAACAAATAAATTTGTTGGCCTAACTAAATGTTCTATTGAGATATAACTGTAAAAATTGGTTACGACAAATAAAATTTGGTTACGACAATCGAAATTTTGTTTACGACATCCAAAATTTCCTAACCAAACGATTTTTTTGCAAATACAAAATCTTTTTTCTAAATTTTTTTTCCCATATTTAAAAACCAAAATTTATTTTGGTGGTACGTTTGGTACATTTTAATCATCCTGTATAAAATGATATATAATATAGAAATAGAAATTTATATCCATTTGGAAATATGAATTGAAGTTGAAAACAAGAGCATAGTATGCGGTACAAATGTACAACGGATATGCGTCGTTATCAGACCTAAATTTTCAACAGGCTGAAATCCTATTGGACGAATGTTTTGGTATTCGATGTAACGAGAAACCGATAACTGCTTGATTTACGCTTTGACGATACGTTCCATTGTTTCCTGTTAGAAGGAAACAATACGAACGTAAAATGTATCTATATATGTATATATGTATATACAAAAGGCAATAGTAAATATAAACGTCACTTTTGTAAATGTATATATGAGAATTGCACACACACACACACACGCTTATATTATATTGCCAGGTGGAAAACGCTTTACTCGTTTTTCCTATCCTCGGAGAGTTATTTCAGTTCATTAGCATCCCTGAGAATGAGAATGACATGGACAAATGCATTAGCGAGAGCTTATAAGTAGGCGTATATCGTTGGAAGTTAACGAAACATATATATATATATATATATATATATATATACAACCCCTCGTTACTGGAAACTCCTCCATATATCTGTGACTTGTTTCAAAACTCATTCATAAACTCGCGTCACATTTTCTCTTTTATATTTATCAAAA